GTACAATGTGTAACCATATATACCGACATGAGGATAGCCATATCTATGCATCACATATGCCGGCTCTGCTTCCTCGCAATCGACTCTACAAGTCTACCGGATTGAAAGGAGAACATTATCTGCAGAACGAATCTCAGAGTCAGCCATTGCTTAATTCGTTTTATTGTAGGCATCCAAACACAATATTCCAACCTCGTTCAGGGGCTATATCATTCTTATGTCTATGAAGGTTCCTATTCATCCAGGTCATGCTGTATCTGTCAAAAAATAAATCAAGGAGACTGGACTGGCTGTATTTTTCTTGAAGACCTTTCGCTGATCATCAGACTAGCTTTTCTGACTTGAGAAAGCTGGTCTGACGACCAGTGAAACATATTCAAGAAAAATACAGCAAGTCCAGTTGTCTTGATTTTTTTGGGTTTACAGATATATGAGGTCTTACCTTCATCGGGGCTGTTAACAATAATGAGATATTGAATTTTTAAATCATAACAATTCGAGGTGCACCGAAATGGAAATTTTTAAACCGAAATAAACAAAAAATTTCAGGCCGAAACCGATACCGAAAATGTTTTTTATTTTCATTTTTTCAAATTGTATAAATATTTTATTTGTATTTATTTTTTATAAACCTTTTCATTTTTTTATATTTATTTTTATTCATTAATTCATTTTTTTATTAAATGTTTTTATTTTTTACTTTACTTGTAGGGGCTTCGGGGAAATATTAGGGGTCTAAACAGATCTCTGATATTTCCCTTTTAAAATAGAAAAAGAGATTTAGGCCACAAAGTCCTCAATTGCTTTTTCTGCAGCCCCTGTTATCAATGATCAGGAATCCTCTATACTGAGTGTTCCTGATCATTGATAACATGAAGACAGAGTATGTTTACTATAACCACAACTATGAATGAACAGGAAGTGATGTAGAGGTGATGTAGCTCACTCCCATTCATTCATAATTGAGGATATAGTAACCATACCATGTCCTCAATTATGTACAATACACTCAGCGATCACTGATCCCTGACTGCTTGTACGTCGCTCTCCTCTATGACACGCGCTGTCACAGGAGGCTGAGCGAGTGGAGCAGGGAGGAGAGTTCAGCCTCCTGTGACAGCGCGGGCTGTCTCCGCCCCCACACCGCTCTGCTGGACTGTGATAGGCGGCTGAGCGTTGTGTGGGAGGAGAGACGCCGGCCGCTCACAGCGCTCTCCTCCCGCAACGCTCGGCCGCTGCTCTGTGTCCCAGCAGGGAGGAGAGAAAGCAGGGATGTGCCGATGTATCGGCAGGAAAATGGCACTTTTGGCATTATGCCAAAAGTGCGATTTTCGGCCGATGTTTCGGTGCATCCCTAATAACAATACAAATAATGATAAGACAAAAATATTATATATTAGGGATGCACCGATACCAAGTACTGTAGTCGGTACAAGTACAGATACTTTTTGAGCTCCAAGAGTAGACTAGAGAAAAAGTAAAAAATTAGGAGGTGGCTGTCATGTGTAAGGAGCACACGGAGCTCCCGGGATTTGTACATCTCTGTTATAATGTATGATTTTGTTTTTATAAATATATATAAGGGAACACTTCATAAACATCCATACTTACCTCCAATCTTATATTTTCTAGTATTCAATTGTTCTTATTTAGATTATTTGTATTGTTTACATATACAATGTATATCTTCTCTATAGCCTTGATGAAGAGAGAATCCTAATAGCTCCCAAAACACGTTGATCTGTCAGGAAATAAACATGTGACCAATGCCGGGGGACTGGACAAAACCGGGTTTCCTGTCCCATGGGACGGTCATTTCCAGATCTCATTGGCTGAGAATAACGGTCATTTGTTAAAAATAAACATCCTAATCCTGATGTTGTAACTTTGTGAATTGAGCTTATTCTGTGTCATTTGCTCTACAGCATGCAGCGTGGATGTAATAAGCGTGATTTTATTTTATGACACAGGTTCCCGTCAAAGGAGACATGTATCATCTCTGTTTATATATTGTGTCCCTCCATCTGTATACCTCCCATTACTTTCCATGGATGAGTGTTCCTTCTATAATCTGACTCCAGCTGTTACAAAAACATCTTAATCATATATTATAAAGGGACGGGGCGAGGCTTTGCGCTTACAGCAGTTATGCGTGTACAGTAATTAGATAAATCAGACCGTTCCCCCAAACATAAAACTCTGATGGCAGCAGCTGGTCCACTCATGTCACTGGCAAACCATAGAACCAGATCTGTGACCCGCAAATGTTCCCTCCCATAGAAGAGGACACTCATGGCTTGAGGGGACAACACAGTGTCTTCATGTAGGGGTTGCTTGATGAGCTGTGCTCTCTTCATCACATGCATGACATGCCCTCATTTTACCTCCTTCTATTCACAATCAGCACAATGAGATCGGCAGCGGGGACTTAATGACCAGGAAAGTCCCGCCACCCCGCTGCGCATTTCCAGGTCCACATGAAACCCGAACGGTGAACCAGGAGCTGCGCAGAGACAAGCGAGGTGGCAGCTGGGAGCTGCAGAAGACAATCGGGGGCTCAGCTTGGCATGTACTCCCTGGGCACTGGATGACATTGTCCTGGCACCCAGAAAGTGTGTCACATCCAGGGCCGGGTCTAGACTGTTTTTCTCCCTAGGCAAGACCAGCTACTTGCACACCCCAGCCCCACTCCCGCGGTGCAGCCCCCAATTCCCTCCCCGCGCACGGCCCCATTATCCTGCCGTATAGCTTCCGCAGGCGTCGGGTGGGTGTGAGCAGTCAGGAGAAATAGCCAGGCTGCTATTGGCTATATCAATCTACAATAGCCAATAGCAGACTGGCTATTGAAACTCCCCCACTGAGCAAAGGAGCAGACCTGACAGAAAAAATTGTCTCTCAGTTCCTCTCCTCTGCTCAGTGGGCGGGTACAATAACCAGCCTGCTATTGACTTTTATGGCACCGAGGGGGGTGAGTGGTCGAGGCTGCGCCCTAGGCGGCTGTCTAGTTTGCCTAGTGGTAGCGCCGGCCCTGGTCACATTCATCACCCTCTTACCACCACTCAGTCAGTATTCCTCATTCATAGCAGTAGTAAAGTGTTGGGGAGCCGCCCATCATCAAAAGGAAAACATTTGCTCAGTATATAGCACAACAATTTTCTTTCAATGAAGGGCGGCACTTCACTGCTGCTATGAATGATGTTCACTAACTGCTAGGAGAGTGAAAGCCTGCATAGTGTATATGGGTGATTTAACATTTGCTGCAAGTCTATACTGTACACTGAGTGGCCGGATTATTATATACACCGAGTGGCCGGATTATTATATACACCGAGTGGCCGGATTATTATATACACCGAGTGGCCGGATTATTATATACACCGAGTGGCCGGATTATTATATACACCTAGTGGCCGGATTATTATATACACCGAGTGGCCGGATTATTATATACACTGAGTGGCCGGATTATTATGACCACCTGACGTTTGTAGGCAAATTAGCTATAATTTGGCGCTGAAGTTGCTAGAGGGCCAGACCATTATAAATAGGGAAGCGGGTTGGTTACCACGACAGTAGAAGTGATTGGGAAGATTCGGGGAAACAACGCGATGTAACAGCCTTTGAGCGTGGGATGATTGTTGGTGCTCGGAGCCATGGAGTGAGTATCAGCAAAACAGCAGAATCCGTTAAATGTTCAAGAGCAGCTCATTGTTAAAGTGTTTAAAGACCGGACTGTCAGCCGAAAATCTGGGTCTGAGCGTGCGAATTGTGGCCGTCAGCGACTAGTCAATGTTAGGGCAGAACGGGGGAGGGGCAAGACTGGTACAAGACAACAGAAGGGCAAAAGCGCCGTGTCAGATTCCTCGCATCACCTTTCACCATCTCGTGGAGTCACGAGGCGGCCCAACGAAGTACTGATGGGGGGGTCATAATAATCTGGCCACTCAGTGTATATCATTCCATTGTAGGGACAATATGACAGGGGATATGACATAGGAACAATCCCCCTATCTTGTACGTGGGCTAATTAACCAACAAGAGAACTGGTTCTGCCAACAGGGGCAGGTGAGGCTCTCTCCCGTTATCACTATGTGTTTGTATGTACATTATCTGTGTTCCCTCCCCCTACTTACAGTGATTGTAGCCATATTAGTGCAATGAGAACAACACAGTTGAGTATTGTCCATGATACTTTTTTGTTATTTGCACTAACCAGGGCCGGATTTTCCACAAGGCCAACCGAGGTCCAGCCATGGGGCAGCAGGGGTGTGGAATTCCTATCTCCCGACGCCTGGGACATGTAGTCCTGGGCGTCTGGCAGCTAATTGTTTTCTGCAGTTAGCCCTGCTTTGGTCACGCAGGGCTAAAATGTACAGCGGGAAAGCCACAGCTTTTTTTGTACAAATGATCTCGGCGATGCCGCTGGGGGTGCCCTTCCGTGTGCACCTTGCTTTATAGCTGGTTATGAGTTGATGAGCACGTTTTCCATTCGTTTTGCTTGTTTGATTTGGTGCAGTGATACACTGGGGGTCTCAGCTGCCGTGCGGGGTCCCTTGTGTGTCCCTGTGCCTTTAAAGGAGGTTGGGCTGCCTCCTGGCGAACCTGCACCCAATTTTATCTTTATTTACATGTGCTCCAAGATGGAGACTCTCATAGGTTAGGAGTTAGGACCACACTACACAGAGGGGCCTTGGCGAGGCTGTGCGGCTTTCATATATTCTGCAGAAGACGTGTATCTAAATCTCTGTTTTTAAACTTAGCGGTTAGACAGGTTTTCTTTTGCATGCAGGCTGGCGAGTGTGCTGGGAAACTTTTTGCTGTTGTACTGTATAAAGCCCTTCCATGTGCACCTTACTTTAAAGCTGGTTATGAGTTGATAAGTGTGTTTGCCATTTGTTTTGCTTGACTGATATATATGGCAGACATGAGATGTTATAAAAGAGAATTGAAGGTTTATTGATTGCACATCTACTGACATAAACCCAGGAAGATGTTTTATATCTACAGAATTATCGCGGGCACATAGCATGGCGGCCACCATCCACAGGCATGGTCACTCCAGTGATAAAGGATGCAGCATCTGATGCCAGGAAAGCAATCGTCCGGGCCACTTCCTCCACTCTGCCACCCCGCCCCAGGGCGTGCGTCTCTTCTGTGTGCTTCAGGAACTGCAAGAGGAGAGAAGGAGCTGGGAGATCAATGCCAAGACACAAGGAGAGAAGGAGATGAGAGATCAATGCCAAGACACGAGGAGAGAAGGAGATGAGAGATCAATGCCAAGACACGAGGAGAGAAGGAGCTGAGAGATCAATGACAAGACACGAGGAGAGAAGGAGCTGAGAGATCAATGCCAAGACACGAGGAGAGAAGGAGCTGAGAGATCAATGCCAAGACACGAGGAGAGAAGGAGCTGAGAGATCAATGCCAAGACATGAAGAGAGAAGGAGATGAGTGATCAATGCCAAGGCTCGAAGAGAGAAGGAGCTGAGAGATCAATGCCAAGACACAAGGAGAGAAGGAGCTGAGAGATCAATGCCAAGACACAAGGAGGGAAGGAGCTGAGAGATCAATGCCAAGACACGAAGAGAGAAGGAGCCGAGCGATCAATGCCAAGACACGAAGAGAGAAGGAGCCGAGCGATCAATGCCAAGACACAAGGAGAGAAGGAGCCGAGAGATCAATGCCAAGACACGAGGAGAGAAGGAGCTGAGAGATCAATGCCAAGACACGAGGAGAGAAGGAGCTGAGCGATCAATGCCAAGACACGAGGAGAGAAGGAGCTGAGAGATCAATGCCAAGACACGAGGAGAGAAGGAGCTGAGAGATCAATGCCAAGACACAAGGAGAGAAGGGGCTGGGAGATCAATGCCAAGACACGAAGAGAGAAGGAGCTGGGAGATCAATGCCAAGACACGAGGAGAGAAGGAGATGAGCGATCAATGCCAAGACACAAGGAGAGAAGGAGCGGAGGGATCAATGCCAAGACACGAGGAGAGAAGGAGCTGAGAGATCAATGCCAAGACACGAGGAGAGAAGGAGCTGAGAGATCAATGCCAAGACACGAGGAGAGAAGGAGCTGAGAGATCAATGCCAATACACAAGGAGAGAAGGGGCTGGGAGATCAATGCCAAGACACGAAGAGAGAAGGAGCTGGGAGATCAATGCCAAGACACGAGGAGAGAAGGAGATGAGCGATCAATGCCAAGACACAAGGAGAGAAGGAGCTGAGAGATCAATGCCAAGACACGAGGAGAGAAGGAGCTGAGAGATCAATGCCAAGACACGAGGAGAGAAGGAGCTGAGAGATCAATGCCAAGACACGAGGAGAGAAGGAGCTGGGAGATCAATGCCAAGACACGAAGAGAGAAGGAGCTGAAGGGTCAGTGCCAAGACACGAAGAGAGAAGGAGCTGAAGGGTCAGTGCCAAGACACGAAGAGAGAAAAGAGCTATGATAATATTAATAACAACAAATCAAAAACATTTTTTTTGCATGGTCAGTGACTTATTAGATAGTGAAGACAGGATGACCTCCCCGGAGACTATTTCGTGAGTGTTCTCATATTCCTATTCTCACAGGTTGTCTTTAAATTTCACAGCGTGGCTCCTCCCTCTTGGAGAGGCACCACAAAGATGGCTGGATTATGAGGCTGGAATGTGATTGTTAGCAGATGGTGGAGGCCACGTTCATAATCACAGGGAAGCAAATACTTTTCTTGGCACTTGTGTACAGTCCTCAGAAGGCTCGGTACTCTCTCTTGGATCCCAGGCCTGGTCTCTAATCAGCATCCAATAACAGCCAATCATGGAGGTGCAGTACAAGCCACCACAGTGTGCTTCACATAATCCAGCTACAACATTGGAAGGTTTGATTCTTATTTATCATAGACAGGGCAAGCTACTCCAGCCACCTACCTCCTGGTACTGCTCTTCATTCATACCGGCCCGCTTGTGAACTTCAGTTACTATCACCCCCGGACTGGAAGAGAACCAGAGACATTGTCAGTAGGAGCATGCGGGAGAAGAATGCTTAATAAACTTTCATGATCATTCTTTAATGTCACCCTTCTTCCATGGCCAGAAGGAAGGCATCCAGAACAAAGATTTAGCCAACTGAACTCAACATAAAACAAGACATCTTCCTCACTGTTTTAAAACTGATCTGATGCTGTAGGTAAGTCTATCTCTCTCTCTCAGGGCCTCTCCTCTGCTTTGTGGATGGAGTTTCAATAGCCAGCCTGCTATCGGCTATTGCAAATCGCAATAGCCAATAGCAGGCTGGCTATTGTGCCCGCCCACTGAGCAGAGAAGCAAACCAGAGAGATAATTTTTTCTCTAAGGCACGCTCCTCTGCTCGGTGGGCGGGGTTTCAATAGCCAGCCTGCTATTGGCTATTTTAAACTGCACGCACGGAGGGGGGACAAGAAACTACAGTTATCCAGAACCCACCGATCCCCGTGGGTGCATTATAACTAGGAGTGTACTGTAATTACATTCATTTTTCTAGTTGTTTTTGTCTTTGAGAAACAATATAAAAAATGCACATTGATGTGCTCTGTACACATGCCGATGTACAATGCAAAGTGCACCGCAATGCACTTCACAGCATGATCTTGGAAAGGTTTTAAAAGCTTGTTGCATGTGCCCATCAATGCAAGTCTTAAAAGAGATTCCCGCACCCTCAGGTGCCATTGAAAGGTCACTGCAGCCTTACAAATGACCAATCACTACCTTCATTTCACCTTTCCCGTTGGCTCTGATCTATCGTGTTACTTTTACATTTCCAGTTTGCCTTCCAACTTCCTGTCCATGTAATAAGGAATTGAGCTTGAATATTGAATACAGGTCCTTATATTCCCACGTGTCCTATCTGAAATAAGCCTGAAACAGAATATGGTTCAAACCTGTGCCATGAACTCTTCAAGATCTCTTGGGGCAACTACACCAGGAACTATGAAGACTATATGACTGTGACCATCTGGTAGCATATGTCATCCTGTATCTTGTTTGGTATAGTCCCTACCATCCCATATTTGGCAATGTGTTTGGATTAGTTATGCTGTTAAAGTGTTTCTAATGTCTGCTGACCAATTGTGTATGTGCTTCCTGTTAAAGGAGAACTATGAGGGGGAGGGGCTTTTCACTCACCTCATAGTTCTAGCCGACCTGTGACAATGAGACTGTCACAGGTCGGCTCAGCAGATCGGGAGGTGAGCGAACACATACCAGGTTCGCTCACCTCTCGATCCTGTCACGGCTAGTTACCCTAAGGAGAACTATGGGGAAAAGCCCTGACCCCACAGTTCTCCTTTAAGAGTTATTCTTTAACATTCATGTATATATTGCACTATCTATTCCAACAGGATGTATTTCTTCTAAAAGAAGGGTCTTTTGTCCATGGTGTTAAAGACAGGAATGTTAATTTCTTACCGAAGTGTGTCTTCCATGGAGGGAAGAGGCGGGGTTGGTTTCTTACCATACATAGCGTTTTTTTGTAAGTCTTAAAATGCTATGTGTACAATTGTGATTGGTTTTGGAGAAGTAACGTCACTGGGTTTGTTCTCATTTTGGCTTATAAAAACTGACTCAGGAAGCTAATAAATTTGAATATAAGTTGCGGCCTTTTGTGTTCAATACCTTTATTCCCGAGATCTCGTATTGCAGAGCAAGTTTGATGGAGTTTTGGACGGCAATGGCAGAAATCGCTCTAACACTTCCTTCACGGTATAAATACCTCTGTTGTAAGCGATGCAAAGGGGCCCCGCTCCTCGGAGAATATCCCTCACAAATTGTGCTAATGATGATCCTCATTATCCCGCCGTTAAGATATGTGGTCTTGACTTAATTCCACAACAGTAACGGTGATCATTGAAATGAATTTTCGGAGGCGGAGTCATGCATGGAATGCTCTCTGACCTGACGTCAATTTTTATACTGGAAAAAAATGTTAAAAACTTTGCTTTCCTTTGTAACGTTTGAGTCAGAATGTTCTACACTCGGCACACACCTTGGACTTGTTTTGCAAAGACAAATGGTGGTAATGACCTTTTCTTCTGTTTGGGTTTTTTTTAATCTTTGTGACAAGCTGAGAGACTGCTCCTGGGCAAACGCCTCTCACTGCACACAAGAATGTAGAATTTGAAGTCAATGGTATAACAATGACTGATGGGCCTCTTGCAGCGATGGATTGCAGATGTCGGCCAGATTGTAACAATCAAGTCCCACAGCAGGTTGTCACTTTACTTGTTACAATTGCTGTAGATTCCTGTAATGCGATATTCTGAACTTCCCAGTTTTCGCTTTAGAAATCCTATGATTGTAAAGAGATCTAATCTGTAAGTCACTTAGCAGGAGAGCGGTACGGGCTCTCCACCTAGTCATCATTCATCTGAGCTCGTCAACGTGTGGTCTTAACTATCACTACTGTCAATGCTATCAGTACTTCCCTTCCAGCAGTCATGCCTCAGTATGGATTGTCAGACCATCCGGGAGGAACATCATTCAGCTTATGTCCCAGAACTCAGGACTCTCAGTTCCATCTAATGGCCCTCAACACTCAACCACTATACCCCCATACCAGCAAACTCTCTCTGTGGTCTCTGATGCCAAGCAAGAGATTCTTAGTGTATTTCATCAGCCAATTCCCATAGCATGTTACCAACATTTTTTTTAGATCACTGAACTCAAAAGGAGGACTATGAGGGGAGTGCTTTTCACTCACCTCATAGTTCTAGCCGACCGGTGACAATGAGACTGTCACAGGTCGGCTCAGTATATACTGAGCTTAGGGTGATGGGAGGACGCTAGTTTGTGTCCTCCCGTTACCCTAAGGAGAACTATGGGGAAAAGCCCTGACCCCATAGTTCTCCTTTAATATCTAAGGAGGAAGAAGCTGGAACCTATGTTAGCCATGAACAAGCCATTAATTAGAGTTCTTTATACCACATACACTTGGCATTCCTTTAAGAGGACATCAACAAGATCCTGAGGGTTATTCACAAAAGGGTGAAGGGTTTGGAGAAGTGACCAATCGAGGACAACATAGCAGAAATCGGAGAGTGAGCTGAATTGGAGAATTATTCCAGTTCAGCGATGTTGTTCTAGATTGTTCCCTTCTCCGGCCTTCTTCTCCGGCCTTCTCCAAACTCGTCACCCTTCTGTGAATGAACCTGCATGCCGTGTGAAAGCCACTTCACTTCCATGGTGGATGGCTGCGGTATGTCAGAGGTCGCCGGCTCCACATTGGACTGCATGGCGTTGGTGTGGCAACACAAAGAGTTACAGTATATGGGCATCAGACTAAGAAGTAAGTCTATTGCTATCAGCTGCTTTCTGGCAAATGGTTTGCAGCAGAGATGCTTTTGCCTTGCTGTTGTTCACATTCGCCATGATCGATATGAGGGGCCCTCCCACTGAACCTATCACAACAAACATGGCAATCAATACAATTAAACTTATGCTTTAGGATTTCGGTCAAAACTCAAACATTGCCATCCAAATCCTTTCACAAATGTATGTCAGAAATAAAAAAATATCCTTTACAATTCTACTCACCAGACGGCATTGACGCGGACCTGCTTACTGGCCAACTCTGGAGAAAATCAAAAACACAAAATGTGATTATAATGGGAGACTTCTAATACATTGCCCGTCCGACCAAACACTATTGTCCACTATGTTTGGCATCATGTCTCACTGCATACAATCTTAATCCTCATGTCCCATCGCACTCCTGACCGGAAAAGCCCAATGCAGCCGGGCGGGTGCAGCAGTGACAACGGACGCCTCCGCAAAGTATGAATGAATGGAAGTAGTCACTCGCACTCCAAAAGTAGTAAAATCAACAATGTTTATTGACTGTGGTGATGGCTTAGGAGATGTGTATCACCACAGTCAATAAACATTATTGACTTTACTACTTTTGGAGTGCGAGTGATTACTTCCATTCATTTGCTGCATATAATGTTCTTAAGCAAATCAGTTTTTTTAATCTGTTGAAAACTCTCTTGTCCGGACTTCCTGCCAGTTACAGTATTTCCTGTAGCAGTCTGACAAAGTTACGCCGCAGCCTCACAAATTAAGCAGCAGCATTGTCAGCCTGCCAAGTGGACTCCTTCAGCTGCTGGCTGGGCCACCAAAATGATCCGCATATGCTTCCTGCAGAACCTGATAGACAGCCTGAGGACCAAAAACAGGAGTCTGTGCTGCAGGCTGACAACACCAAACAAAAACCCCCATATCTTATATCCTACTTACCGAGAGCGACACATCTGGTCATGTGATCCACCGCTGACTTCGACATGCAGTACGCCAGGACACCTGGGAACTGGAAAACAAATGGGGAGATTTGAAAACCCTGACACGTGGCTTGTCACTCTTCCTTAGAAATGGACATTTTGGAGCTCTTCTCCCATAGGAGCACAATTTGTACCAGCAATAGGGCAACCTTTGTAAAGTTTGCACATGAATAAGAGGATGCCAGTATGGATAATCTTTGTTTTGTCATTGCTTTATCTCCTTGATAGTGCTCTTCATGAATTTACTACATGTGGTACCTCAATATGGGGGTCCTGTGCATTCCTCCACAAAATGGAGATTAGTATTGGTTTGCAAATTAGGGAACTTGCTGATCCTACAGCTTTGTCTAATCATCATTATCACCACATGAATCATGAATGCCTGGGCAGATAAAATGCATCATTCTCTACAGATCAGACAGACTGACAGTTATATTTAGATAAATCAAAAATAAGTCAAGCAGCAATAATACTAAACCACTCATCACTAATTATATTATTGTTCCTTTATTACTACAATGTTATACATTTAGATCAATTGATTCCCTCTATTTCCTAACAAGCCTTAGACGATTTCAAATGACACCCCTAGAGAAACAGTGACTGCAAGGATCTCAACCCTCTGAAGACACCTTCTACTATAAGATTATTCCTCAACACTCTGAAGACACCTTCTACAATGTAACTATTCCTAAACCTTCTGAAGACACCTTCTACTATGTAACTATTCCTCAACACTCTGAAGACACCTTCTACTATGTAACTATTCCTCAACACTCTGAAGTCACCCTCTACTATGTAACTATTCCTCAACACTCTGAAGCCACCTTCTACTAGGAGACTATTCCTCAACACTCTGAAGTCACCTTCTACTAGGAGACTATTCCTCAACACTCTGAAGTCACCTTCTACTAGGAGACTATTCCTCAACACTCTGAAGTCACCTTCTACTAGGAGACTATTCCTCAACACTCTGAAGTCACCTTCTACTATGTAACTATTCCTCAACACTCTGAAATTACCTTCTACTATGCAACTATTCCTCAACCTTCTGAAGCCACCTTCTACTAGGGGACTATTCCTCAACACTCCAAAATAAACTTCTACTATGTAACTATTCCTCAACACTCTGAAGTCACCTTCTACTTTGTAACTATTCCTCAATGATCTGAAATCACCTTCTACTATGTAACTATTGAATCACTCTGAAGTCACCTTCTACTATGAGACTATTCCTCAACACTCTGAAAATTACCTTCTACTATGTAACTATTCCTCAACACTCTGAAGACACCTTCTACCATGCAACTATTCCTCAACACTCTGAAGCCGCCTTCTACTATGTAACTATTCCTCAACACTCCAAAATAAACTTCTACTATGTAACTAGTTCTCAACACTCTGAAGTCACCTTCTACTATGTAACTATTCCTCACACAGCCTCAGTTTTGATTTCTAAATGGCCAGGAGGAGAGGGAGGCAGAGACATAGGGGTTGATTTACTAACCTTATAAACACACCACGAACGTGTATACACCTCTGCAGTGTGTTCCCTCCCAGCATGATCTATGGGTGGAATCTAAACACCTTTGTAATGTGTACACACCCAGCAGGTGTGTTGTGCAAAGCCCTGAAGGAATTCCAAGGTGATGTTGGGTAAATTAGCTCTATGTTGTGTTGCTTGCGTTGATGAATGCAGGAATGTAAATGCATGAGCTAACCATTTTTGTCTAAACTGTGAAGCAGCATTATATATGCATCATGTGCATGATTTTTACATATATGGCATTAGTGGAAATATGCTTTTAGAGACTTTTTGGTTGATAAATACGTTTTGCTGTGTGAAAATCACACACACCTGGTGTGTGTGTGTGTTTAGGTTAGTAAATCACCCCCCTAACCTCAGCACTGGGGTCTACAAGACCTGCAGAATTTATATCTCAGCAGCCCGGAAGTGTGATCTGCACTAATCCCAGGATGTAACCCCCCAGATTTGATTAATATAGAAGAATGCCGATTTTGCTCAGGAACTTTTAGGGCCCCTCCTAAAATTGTAATATTCATTCATTTACCACAACAACATAAATATACATTCCCAGATGAAGAAAGTAATTTGCATGGTGAAGAATTGTGTTTGAGCACTAGGCTGTAACTAAGTCGACTTTGAATCATTACAGGAATGGAACACCGGCTTGTACTGTAGTAGTGATTGCAGATTGTTCGGAGCACAATGGTATCTTAGATTATTTATCACTGGTGAACAGTTTTGTCTGTGGCCATCTCAAGTTCCATAACCTATCCCACAGGGCCAGGAAAATCGCTAGCTAAACAATTCCAAAAGAGTTCGATTGTCAGAAGCTGCTGTATAAAGCGATTGTCTGGATTCGCCTGAAGGGGTAACCATATTGTTTGACACCAGATTTCTGTTATTCCCATCTCCCAGCACAAAGTGAATGTGTAGACAGGAGCAGTCATCAGCTGGAGGGGCACGTTAAAGGGGTTCAATGAGCTGAATGATTAAAGAGAACCTGTTAAATTACCAAATGATCCCAATAAACCATGTACTTGTAAAGAAGAACAATGAGTACCTCTCCTGCCTCTCTCGCCCTCCAATCACCACTCAACTGAATGGAACTCCCCAACTGAAGCCTATAAAGATACCAAATGGAGTGACAGAAGAGTGCCAAACCAAACAACTGAGAGTCCACGAGTATATTTCATCATACAACTGTAGACAACAATAATATTAGACAAGGCAACACGCTGAAGGGGTTCTGTGGGCTTCCCTTCACTAGGGCTACGAGAATACGAACAGTACATGAGTATTATACATCATGGGATGCTCTCCAATGCACATAGAGGATTGATAAGACCATGTCATGGATGGGCAACACGACTCTCTATAGGACTTGAAATAGGAAATTCTTACTGCCAGGGAGAACACAGGGAAAGGAGTACCGCCAGGGAGAACACAGGGAAAGGAGTACCGCCGGGGAGAACAAAGGGAAAAGAGTACCGTCGGGGAGAACACAGGGAAAGGAGTACCGCCGGGGAGAACACAAAGGAAAGGAGTACCACCGGGGAGAACACAGGGAAAGGAGTACCGCCGGGGAGAACACAGGGAAAGGAGTACTGCCGGGGAGAACACAAGGAAAGGAGTACTGCCGGGGAGAACACAGGGAAAGGAGTACTGCCGGGGAGAACACAGGGAAAGGAGTACTGCCAGGGAGCACACAGGGAAAGGAGTACTGCCGGGGAGCACACAGGGAAAGGGAGTACTGCCGGGGAGAACACAGGGAAAGGAGTACTGCCAGGGAGCACACTGGGAAAGGAGTACTGCCAGGGAGCACACTGGGAAAAAGGAGTACCGCCGGGGAGAACACAGGGAAAGGAGTAGTAGCGGGGAGAATACAGGGAAATGAGTACTGCCGGGGAGAACACAGGGGAAAAGGAGTACCGCCGGGGAGAACACAGGGAAAGGAGTACTGCCAGGGAGCACACAGGGAAAGGAGTACTGCCGGGGAGAACACAGGGAAAGGAGTACTGCCAGGGAGAACACAGGGAAAGGAGTACTGCCAGGGAGAACACAGGGAAAGGAGTACTGCCGGGGAGAACACAGGGAAAGGAGTACTGGTGGGAAGAACAAAGGCAGAGAACAACTTCTACAAAAATATTTACAACGTGTCATCTTATCTGAGATCTCCGGAGGGTGATGTCATGCTTGTATCGGATTAGATACTGATCTTAGTTAATTCTCTGCATGTCCACTTAATCCAACACATCAAAGTGATGCAGTTAACAAGGATAAAATAAGATGTATATCTGCCAAGATGTGCGGCCTCACAGAGCGGAGGGCGGCCGGATGCTGAATCAGGGGATTTAATGCAGTTTGAAGTCCAGACGTCCCCCCCATCTCTCACAACCGAAACTCCGTACGAGCTCTGCCTGGGAGAGAATGTGCAGAAGCCTGAGCCCTTCAGCCCTGATCCAGTGATCACCGCTGCAATGCTTCCTTCGAATGCAAAAATTAAAGAAATGCTTTTTTTTTATATTATCAAATACGCATTTCTTTAAATTTTGCAAAAGGTGAACTTATCCTTTAAACATAGCACAGAACGCAAATAACAAAAACATACATTGGGACATTTCATTGAGGATTGAATAACATTTATTGATCATTTCTGACTTGAGCTTTCTTTTGGAAACAAGTTAGATTGGTGGGTTTAGTTCCACTTTAAATTAACACTGAAAAGTGCATTTCAAACAGCAAAATCTCTGTGCTTATTCTTTTTTTTAGGCCCCACCCCTGATAAGCCCTGCCAGACCCAATATACAAGACATTATTCGTCTAATCCTAGGCACCTCACCATCTCTCCCATGTGACTATGCCCAGGTCTGGCAATCGGTCACATTATACTGTGATGTAGGGATAGAGGGTTGTGTCTAATCTCCATGTCCAGGGGGCAGAGACTGCGATACAAAGTATGTGCGCGATGGTTGTGCTGGGAGGGATGTGCTACAAATCTCAGAAAAGTTTTTGTAGACAGGTTTTTAGAGCAAGAGGAGTCGCCTACGGGGCTATGCAGTGAATCCGGGGTGTGTGACTCATGAAAGGAGCTGAACAAACATAATGGCAAATACTTTAGAAGGTAAAAAAAAAAAGCAGACCTGTGTACGCTGCAGATACGGATTTATGTATATAGTGGTCTGGTTGGAATTCAGAACAAAGGTATATAGAAGAAGCAGCACATTATGGGCTCTGTTCTTTAGTACATTGCATCTCACTCAGAAGACCAATAAAAGAATATTCTGAAGCCCTCATCTATATCTTGTAGAAGGGCAAAGGATGGGAGCATCACAGGTTTAGAACAAGTCCAGTAAAGGTTTATTCATCTTAATAATAGATCAGAAGATAAATCCAATGGGGGCTCAGAACTTCATCGGGGTTGAGTGCTGGCAGAGATGGGAGATAATACCCACCTCAACCTGACCACCGAACTATCACATTCTCAAACAAATCATCCCCACACAGCTCCCTCCTCATGTATCACTGGCCCCTCCCCTTTTAGATCGTAAGCCCTCAGGGGCAGGGCCCTCCTTTTCATCTTGTCTTGAATTGTATTGTGATTGTAATGTCTTCCTTATATTGTAAAGCGCTGCGCACACTGTTGACCCTACAGTATATAAATCCTGTATAATAATAATAATATTGGACAACATTTGCAAACAAACCAAGGTTGGAATGGTAGCGGTGCAGGTCACAAGTTTGA